CCAGAATTAATATCAAAATTAGTTGATACCAATTCATTTTGGCCAGCAACAGAACTTTTATGTTCTTTTTTAAAATTATTTGTTGATATGTTTAAAATATTTGAAAGTGATAAACCAAATTTATCATCAGTGTATAATGAGTATGTAAAGTATAATTAATTTTATTATTTTATTTTATTATTTTTTGAAATATCATTACTAAATATCAATTAAATAAATACAGATTTATTATTCTTGGGAATGGAATTTCAAAATCAACAATTCCTATCAAAGATGAGGTTTTGGATATATACAATCATTATAATGAAAAATTATATCATCCAGCCATTGCTATTGCTTATTTTTTTGATCCTAGATATAAAGGCAAATATCTACCAGATAGAATTTCAAGTATCTCATATATAGTTGAAGAGACAGTCAAACTTACTGATAAAACAAATATTGGAAAATTAACTAAAGAGATTATCAAATATCATGCCAAGTCTAGTCAGTTTAGTTCGAATTTTTTGTGGTTAAAAGAAGCAATTGAGGATCCAATCACTTGGTGGTCATCTCTAGAGAAAGATGTTCCAATTCTAAGTCAGGTTGCAATAAAATTAATGAAAATACCTGCTTCTTCTACAGCATCAGAATGTAATTGGAGTGATTTTGGTTATATTCATAATATTAGAAGAAATAGACTCACAAATAAAAATGTATTTAAACTCGTTTCAATATATTCCAACTTAAGATTATCTAATTCATATGAAAAAGGATTGATGGAGATGAAGATGAAGAAATTGATGATTATTGGGATTTTGATTATAATGACTATGATTATAGTGAAAATTATGATGATGACAATGATTTTGATGAATTTATTAATTTAGAAGATAGTGATAACATTCAAGAATTCTACAAAGATGTATAACATAAGTTTATTATACAATTAGCATTTCTTATTATAAATAAATATTCAAACCAAAATTGTTATCTTATTGCATATTAATGGTATATACCAACGAATGGTATATACCACAATCAATTTCTTGTGTAATTTTTTAGTAGGGGTATATACCATGGTATATATCGGGTATAAATATGGTATATACCACTCAAATCTTTTATAACATGTTATATACCATCCCTAGCTCCTACAATCTAATAACTTTCTATTATAAAAATGTTTGGCTTCCACAATGTGCTTTGTTTAACTCATAGTTAATATCAACTTGAAAAATAAAACAGCTAATCAATTATACCCAATTAATCAGATAGCACAAACACCCTCAAGACCTCTTTCAAATCCTAATTCTAATAATTCTCATCTAGTTTTAATAAATAACTTCATCAACTCTGGATCTGACTTCCTATTACCTAGGTAATATCTGGATCAGTCAACAATATCTGTGTTGCAGTTAAAATTGTTAAATTAAGACTGAATAAACTTCATAGACTTTGTTTGGCATATCTGTTTTTTCTGAAATGTTAATTCGTGTTCCACGAATAAAGGAAAGAACTTAATTAGTGCCGATCGGGGCAAAAAAATTTATTTTCATATTAAAATTAATATGGTTGATTTTTTGGCCCCCACAAAAAGTCACGCATTTATTATGTTACATATA